CTATTTTTTGAGACAGGGTCTCACTAAATTGCTGAGACTAGCCTTGAACTTGCAATACTCTTGCCTCAGCCTCCTGAGTAGCCAGGATTACAAGTGTGAGCCATCATGCCCAGCAGCATGTGGAGTTTTGTTTGTTCTTGTTGCTGTTGTTGTTTTGGTTTGGGTCAGGGTGGAAGACATAATAGCATGTGCTTATGATGATGGAAATGATTCAGTTGAGGGGAGAAATTGACAATATAATAGAGAAGAAATGGTTGAAGACAGTGGATGTTTTTAACTTGGAAAAGAAAAGATGCAGAGGCACCTACTAAGTGGAACCCTGAGAGAACTGAACTGGCTTTTCAGATCCCAAGTGAAAGGTTAGGGAGGAATCTGACTGAGGAAAGACTAAAGGCGGGGCCGGGTTATAGCTCAGCCTCAGTGGTAGAGCACTTGACTCGCACCTGTGAGGTACTGGGTTCGATCCTCAGCACCATATAAAAATAAATTAATTTAAAAAAATTTTAAAAAGACTGAAGGAGCTGATAGATTGGGAATAGAGATGGAGATAAAATGAGGGAATCCATGGGAGGATGAGATCCAAGTTAAAGAGCAGGTACAATGGAAACCAGGAAAAGGAAATTAAGGGCATGCCACTTTGTGATAAGAGGAAGTTTGTTATTTAATATTTCAAAGATAAAGACATTTCCAGAGATGACAAGGTTTCAAAGTATCCCTGTTAAGTCAGTTCCACATGAATATTGAACCTTGGACCAAAACCTACTGGCTGGAATAACTGATGGATGTCCAGGTATGTCCAGGGATGACTGTGACAAGGACAGATAAAGGGTGGTAAAGCTGCATGAATTAAGCATGGGAGGCAGAGGTCCCATTTGTGGAGAGGAGCCCTGGGGGATGTGCTGAGCTTCTCATCTCTAGAAGGATTCAAGAAGACACTGGTGATTCTAAATTTAGGGCTAAAAAAAAAAAAAAAAAAGAAGAGAATTTGGAATTCTAAGTCTGATAACTATGATAATTGAGTTAGGCCTCTCAAATTACTTTTGTTGCTTGTTTGTTTAAAGTAAAATTCTATTTTTGTAATAAAACTTATTTTCTCGGGTGAGAATTTTACGCTGCTTAGGATCAGTAACAGTTTGTCATTTCTATTCTCTCCCCGAAATTTGCTCAAAGACCCTCTAATTGCCTGCATGATTCCAACATTTAAATATTTACTGGATTAAATGACATCACAGATTACAAATTCTTAAATTTAATGTACTAAATCTCTTTAGGATCATTAAATATAAATGATGACTTTCTCTGGGACCTATATACAGAATATATAAAGAACTCCAAAAATCTACACACACATCAATCCAACCAATAAACACTTCTCAAAAGAATACAAATGGCCAACAAATATATGAAAAAAAATGTTCAATGTTCAACATCCTTAGCAATCAGGGAAATGCAAATCAAAACAGCACAGAGATTTGATTGCATTCTATCTAGAAAGGCAATCATCACTACAAATAACAAGCCAGACAAATTGGTGCACACTGGTAATCCCAACCACTCAAGAATCTGAGGCAGGAGGATTGCAAATTCAAGGCCAGCCTCAACAACTTAGTGAGGCCCTAAGCAATTTAAGAGAGATCCTGTCTCAAAAATAAAAGATTAAAAGATCTAGGGATGTGGCTCAGTGGTAAAGCATCTGAGTTCAATCCCAGTACCAATAAATAAATATAATTTTTGAAAGGGATGAAAAGGGAGATCAAATATAAATAGTTTTGGAGCTGGGCATGTGGCTTAGTTGTAGAGCACTTGGCTAGCCTGGGCTACATTTGGTCCCTGGCACCACAAAAAGATGAAAAAAGAAAGAAAGAAAGTATCCAGGGCCTTTGGATCATTTCTCTCCATTCCCTTCTCTTGAGAAACAATATTCAACACACTTGGAATACATATATGCAGTTTTAAAAGCACCAATTTATTTCCCTTTTATTCATTACAGGCTGTTTCCTTCATTTCAGTAATCCTCCCCCCGACCCAGGGAATTCCATAAATATAAAGTCTTAAAAGAATTTGCTAAATTTTTTATTGCATTTACTGAGAATATCACGTTTTCCACAGTCAAATGATCTTATTCTCCAAATTATTACAAAGCTCTTTTCATTTAAAACATTTTGGTTATGTGTACTAAATAGCATATTATTTAAAATTCAGTTATAAATTATACTCTTTAAAGAGAAACATTTTTTTTTTAAAGTCAAGTACTAAAATGCCACATACTGGTCTAATCCAGCATGATCATTTCACATGGCAATCTATATTTCAACAAATACTGTGCCAGAAATGACATCCTATGTAGGAAGGAAAGCAGCAGAGCCACACTTCAGAGTGCAGCATGCATGGTTTTGATGTCTAACTTCCAAAATATATAAAATAATTTTTAAAAATTTTTGGATAAACATTGAGTCAAAATGAAAAATGTCAGATTATTCTAAGAGATACTTAAATCATAGAATCTCACTTAATAATACTGCAGGGTTCAATTTGTTGTAGCTCTAAGTTTTAGGCTAAAATAAACTGGTGGGAGAACAAATGGATAAGATAAATTTGCCAAGCATTGTGCAATGCCTTTACAATCTTCTATTTCTCCACCAAAATATATTCATAGTTATGTCAGAAGTTATAATGTTCTAACTTCTGATAACAAACCCCCATTCTACCCTCCACACTTAGCTCATGTCAATAGTTGAAAGGAGCAACCATTAGTTAACAGTGAGCTCAGTACATTCTATTGTGAATGTCTTTCTAATTAGGAAAATGATAATGAGCATTGTTTTCCTAATTGGTTTTATCAAATCCTCATACAATACAGTTAAGGCAAAGACCCTAAGGAGAAAACTTGTGATCCCCAATTTACCTGAACCCTACTTACAGAACATTAGGATTCAGAGATCTACATGTAATTTCAGGTGGAATTTTAGGTACTACACAATTATCCATAGTCATGGTGCTGAGAGCCCTTGATAAATCAAGGATCTGAGATCTGCTGACACTGACCCAGCTGCAACAGTTACTAGTTTAAATCTCTGTATTAAGTCTGAAAGATGAACAATGACACTTCTAGTGAGAAATTAGGACAATATAAAAATAAAACTGAGCAAATAACTAATTCTTTAAGACTGTTAACTCTCCAAACTGATTTTAGCCTGAAAATGTTAGTTTCAAATGTTCAAATATTTACTTATGTAAGCAAAATAGAAAGCCATATGTCTGTCTGTATATATATCACTTTTTTTCATAGTCCCTCAGAGACATTTTGTGTGTGTGTGTGCTAGAAACATAAACAAGGGACTGTGTCATTTAAGTTGTTACCTTGGAGGCCATGTTCATGAGAAACTTTTCATTTGGGGAAGATTTTGTGTTTTATAATTTAAATATTTAAATGCTAACAAAAATTATGTACTTGAACTTGGTAATCGCTTTATAGATGAAGTTTTTCTTTCCCTTAGATGTGTACAAATGCAACATATAACAATGTTGGCTATACATAGTTCCAATTGGTATATATATTTAAAAAGAAAAATTAATGTTGAAAGGAATATGAAGTTTAGCACCCATCTTCACCTCATCTTTCTTTGGTAGGGAAAAAAAGGCACAAATTACATAATCCATTCATAGTGAAGGGTTAAAATATAACACTATAAAAAACAAATCCTCAGTCCCTGAAATAATAATATTTCAGTACAGCCTGAATTATGAAAGAAACTTTGACCCATTAGAGAAGATGAAAGTAGAAAGGTTTATGTATTTACCCACACATAAAATATTTAATAAATTGACTCTTCTAGTATCAGACAGATACTGAACAATGTTATCAAGAATAAGTCATATATCACAGGCTTCAAAATGGTATTGATTTCTAAGTGTTATATTCTTAGTTCCTATCACATACATGCTTAGTAACATTCAACCCCAAAATACTCCAAAATCCCCATGCCCAGGGACTTGAACCCAAGGGTCGTTTTGAGACAGGGTCTCAGTGAATTGCCTAGGCTGGACTTGAACTTGTGATCCCAGCCTCAGCCTCCCTGGTCACTGGGATTATAGGTGGGCACCACCACATTGGCATAGCACTCACATTGAAAGTCCAAGAAATATCTTTAATTATGTTGATTTTTTTCCTTTGGTGGTGCTGAAGCCAGATTTAAAGTTAGGTAGTCAGTGTAGTTAGGTAAATCGGGTCTAATATTGAGTGAAATCTAAAATGGAGACCATGCGGAGAATGACTCAGGGAAAACACAGGACAACTCATGGAATGTTAATGAAGTCCCTAAAAGGCCCTAGGCCAAAGTCCACCTCAAAGAAATGTTAATGAACAGCCCCCAGCAAAAAGGTGCTGACTCAGAAGTCCTTCCTGACCAGTGCTTCTTTGGTGTTATTCTTCAACATTGGGGAAGCAAGAACTCGTTACCGGTCAATAGCGGTAACAGTGCTAGGGATTGAACCCAAGGCCTTGTGCATGTGAGGCAACACTCACATCAGCTGAGCTATATCCCCAGCCCCTAGATTGGAAATTTGTAGGCTAACTTCTACATCTTGGTGAACTCAATGAGAGCATTTTGAAAGGCTCCAGTGAGACAAAACTTCATTGCCGTGGTCCTTGTTCCACTCTGAAAGGAGCACCTCTACTAGGGGTTTAACACGGAAATTGTAAGGCTCAGGCCTTACAGGATCTATCATCAGTGATCATCTGTCCTCCTGCCAATGAAGACAGACCTTTTCATTTCCAATGTTAATTTGAAAAGCCACTTGTGAAGCAGTTTAGCGAATGTTCATTATTATCTAGATTATAAGTTTCTTCAGTTTTTTTCCGTTGTCAGATCTACAGGCCACATTCATTGTTATTCCTTGTTTGTTCCATTTATACTCAATTATGGGGGAAAAGCACTGAAGAAATCTTACTGACATTTTAACCCCATTAATGGCTTGCTTTCCTTTGCCTTTTAATCCAGAAACACCATTAACTCCATTCTGATGAAGCGGATTGATGCAGCTGGGCTGAAAGCTGAGGTAGTGAACTCATGATCAAGCGAAGGTTGCCATCAAATGCTTAGTTAGAAAGGGTCCATTTCATTCCCAGTATCTTTCCGACTTACTAGTAAAAATACTGAAATCTTCTGCTTTGGAAATGAGGTAGCCTCCTATACTAGTTGATATTTATCAAGATTTTTTTCTGCTCCCAGAAAGCAAGATTGTACCTATTTAGTGTGGCACATTGAACTTCACATTCTCAAATGTGAAGAGGTCAAGGTGATTGAAATTTACTATTTAAAATCTGATAAAAGGGACAAGCTCAGTAAACTACTATGTCCTAACTCAGTGTTTCTCCGAGAGATTCCAAGATGTGACAATGAATTTTATCATGGGTCTTTACTTTTACAAAAGTCATCTGCTAAGTCTACATTGATGGGCGTTCAATAATCATGGTTCTATCATGTATGCAGTTTCACATTTAGCTATGGGCAATTGTACCCTATCATTCTATACACTAAATGGGAAGGAAGCATGGAACAGGGACAAATTCCATATTATTATTATTTGTGGTGCTGGAGATTATTTATAACACAAAGTATTATTCTTTGCTAACAAATGATAAACATGGCTGTGACTATGAAATTATAATGGGCCAGGAATATCTGTCCACCTTGTTTTTATTTGCCCCTGGAACATTCTCAAACTCAGCTCCAGGTACTCTTTTTATCTCAACAATCAGCAAAAATCAGTGAATATCATAAAGTGAACTGATAAGTCAGTAAAGTAGCAGGTTTTTCCTCTATGGTGTGTGTACTGGGGACTGAACCCACAGGTGCTTTACCACTTAGCTATAACCCCAACCTTTTTTATTTTTATTTTGGGTCTTGCTAAGTGCAGAGGCTGGCCTTGAACTTGTAATTCTCCTGCCTCAGGCTCCTGAGTTGTTGGGATCACAGGTGTGCCCCACTGCACCAGCTCTGTAATGTGTTCTTATCCCATGCTACCATTCTACTAGTATGACTGACAAATTGTTCTTTTGTTTTGCAAGTGACAAAAAGTTTGTCTTTTGAAGAGTTAAATTTTTTGAAATGCTTCCCCCCACCCCTATTTTATTTTTCAAATAAGAAAAGGAAAATAGATGTAAAAACAAAGTAATAACATTTTACTTCCTCCTTTGAAGGCAACACACTGGAAAAGCAACAATCTTTGACCTAATACAAAAATTGTTCCTTAATGTTTTGCCAGTTTTCAGTATTAGAAATTTCCTGAAGCGTTTTAAGTACTTGTTTACATATTTTAAAATTGAAGCTAATGAGTTCATGCATTTCCATTTGTATCTGTAAAATCTGGGATTTTTCTTTGAGACCAGTCAGCATAAAATGTAATTAATCCAACCTTAGGCGGGTTCCCTAGGCAGGTTCTGGAAGCTCATTACTTTCCAAGTCATCCGCCATAGTGTGCTTTCAAGACTAAGATTCAATAAAACCTTAATGGAATATGAAAACCAAATTAAGCAATCATGCTCTCTGAAATATTTATGCTAAAAACTGGCGTTTTTTTCTTCAAAGCATTTACCTTCAATGTTTAAAGCTTTACAAGTTAGCTCAAAAGTTGACAATTACATGAAACAGCAGTTCCCTTAAATACTTAAATCGTGTAATTTAAAAAATCATTGTAGACCATTAAAATTATAAGCTCAACACTATGAACAAGCCATTCTCCAATTTATACAAAACTGGGCTGGGATCCATTCTGTGAAACTACAGGGACAATAAGTAGTGCAGCTAAGCAACTAAATGAGGACATTGGTGGGTTCCTCAGGAGGTTTTTGAAGGATGGTGGTTAGTAAAGAAAAGGGAAAGAATGATGAGGAAAACAGTAAGAAATAAGGTACAGATAAACAGGTTCACTGGTAGGAACTCCTCAGGGCCACCCATGTTATAGACTGCCTACCCTTAACCTTATATCACACTTTCTATGCAGTTTTATTGACTAAACATTAAACTCCACCTGGACATAAGACCATTTACAATAACACTCTATAAAAGAAAACAAATGCAGTTAAAAGGATAACAGTTAACAAAAGAAAATACACTTTTTATAACAAAGTTGTACATTTACTTTAAAAGTGTGGAAAGTTGAAGCTAATAGCATAAAAAATTTCTGTATACTTGGGCAAGCCTATGGGATCATCTGCAATCATGGATATGGATACACTGATGACTTATGGATCATGAAATGTAAATGAAGCCTCATTTTTATTTATAAATAGAATTTGAAGCTTACCACAAGCACTATGCAATTTTCAGTGGAAATCACAGATTTTTGTAACAGGGTTATAGAGTAAACATTGCGACAATGATCAAAGAGATCTACAAATTTCGAATGAAGTATCAGTAATCTGGGTGATGTATTATTAAACTTCCACTACAGTAAACTTTAACCAAAACCTTTCTGGGAGCTCCTTAAGCATCTGTTACAATAGTCTGACTCAAAATTTCTATAAAGAAAAATGACTGTTCCCTTTCTCATTTTACTCTTGACTTTGAGAATATGCTTAGTGTTATCAGAAAGAGTTCTGACACTGTACTCTCTTCCTCTCAGAGAAGTATCTGGGAATGAACAAGAAGACCTTACCAGATCACATGATTCAACAGTGACCTTAGGCGGGTTCCTTAGGCAGGTTCTGAAATTAGATTTACTTTGACTAACAAAGTATTTTTTTTAATCTAAAACACCAATCTTTATTTTTCATCTTTCTTGGTTTGTATATTTTAGACTTTTAGAAATTTCTTACCAAATAACACATTCCAAAATGTTTATTTAGTGGAATTTAGCATCTTACCCTTTATTCTAACTTCAGGGTATTCTCCATGAAATTCTATTACAGTGAACCCTTTCAGTGTTACAGATAGTTTGATTCATTTCATTAAACTGAAAACGACTTATATATTATTCTTATATGTATTATCATACACAAACACAATATGCCGAGATCTAAGTTTTTATTTAAATACTTAAGTCACTTTGCTGTTTTAATGTGAAAACTAACCAAGCAAGACCAAGCCTTCAGGTTTCATATTATCTTTTTCCATCTCAAAAATTAGCCAGATTTTGAAAGAAAAAGCAATTTGGAGGTCTTTATAGGTCTTTTCCATTTTAGAATTAAGTCTTTCTGTAAAATGTGTGTGTGTGTGTGTGTGTGTGGAGGGGTGTTCTTTTGAAATCTCTGCGAAGGAAGGAAGGAAGGAAGGAAGGAAGGAAGGGAGGGAGGGAGGAAGGAAGGAACATTTTTATAATGGCAAATTTGATGACTGTTTTTTTTTTTTTTTAATATTTATTTTTTAGTTATCGGCAGACACAACATCCTTGTTTTTGTATGTGGTGCTGAGGATCGAACCCGGGCCGCACGCATGCCAGGCGAGCGCGCTACCGCTTGAGCCACATCCCCGGCCGACTGGTTTTAATTGTATGTTTTTACTGAACTTTTCAAAAATGTGATATTGTTGTGGAATGAAAGTAATATCTTGGATAACTGGGAGTGAATAAATGAAGGATTTAATATACTATACTATCATGAAACACAAACATGAAAGGGCAGTGTAATCAAAATATAGTTTTAAAATTCCTGCCACAGAATCTTTTGCAAACAAATTATCAAAGACCACTGAATATTAAACTATTAGAAGTAGTAAGTTGCAGCTGGGCATGGTGGCGCATATCTATAATCCCAGCTACTCAGGAGGCTGAAGCAGGACTGCAAGTTCAAGGCCAGCCTCAGCAACTTAGCAAGACTTTGTTTCAAAATAAAACAAAAAGGGCTAGGAATGTAGCTCAGTGGTAGAGTGTCTTGGGTTCCATTCCTAGTACAGGGATTGGGGTTGGGGGTAGTAGTAAATTGCAACTATTGTGTGGGCTGGTAAGTTGCTGAATATCTTCACAATCAAAATTACTTAAGATCCTATTAAAAATAAATTCCACATTTAGCATTTACACTATGAACTTTCAAAGTGGCAAGTGAGAAAGCTTATACTGAAAAGTCAATGGATTTTCCAGCTGTTCAATTAACAGCCCCACATCCCTCAAGCTCCCCCACCGGTCCCTCCCAAGCCAACAACTACAAATCCAAATGCTCTCCAGATAGTTCCATTCTTAGCTGAAGTAAGAATAGGACTTTGCCTTTTAAAGATAATAGAAGATGAAAAGAAAAATAGTGAGCTAATAAAATTTTCTTACCTTCAGGTAATTTAGAAATAGATGAATAAAGATCTAACATTCATCTATACTTAAGATTGAAATATACTTTGCATATTATTGACTTTTAAAAGTCTAAAGTATTGAAGTGTAATTTTAAACATATAAGGAAGTGTTCCAGTTTTTATAAGTGGATAATGTGTCACAACATAACTAGTTTTTTTAATTTTGGGTACTCAAAACTAATAGTTTTCTTATAACAATATTTATAAATAAAAAAGTAACAGAAATATTAATGGAGATCATACTAGGATAAACACAGCACCACATTAACAACTTTTTGGTTAATGCTGGGCTATATATATAATGATGGTCCCATAAGATTATATTGCTTAGTAAAATTGTAACTATCTTGGTGTAAGTTCAATCTGTGTTTGCCCAATGAAACTGTCTACAGATGCATTTCTTGAAATTGGGTCTCACTAAGTTGCTGAGTCTGGCTTCAAACTTATGATCCTTTTCCCTCAATCTCACAAGTTGTTGGGATTACAGGCATGTGCCACTACAACCAGCTAATGATGCATTTCTTAAAATTTGTCCCAGGTCATTAAGTTATTTATGACTGCATACATGAATGCAAATTTTTACTAGAAAATTTTGGAAATGTAGGAATTCTCTGTTATTAGTACTTTAACTTTTTAAGGCCCATTGACCTCTTTTTTTTTTTTTTTTGAGAGAGAATTTTAATATTTATTTATTTATTTTAGTTTCCGGCGGACACAACATCTTTGTTTGTATGTGGTGCTGAGAATTGAACCCGGGCCGCACGCATGCTAGGCGAGCGTGCTACCGCTTGAGCCACATCCTCAGCGCCCCCCCCCCCCCCCCCCCCGCATTGACCTCTTAAGTCCCAAGTTTTCAATTCTGCAAAGAGTTCAATGAAATTGACACTGGTACATTAAAGTGGGTTGAGGGGCTGGGCATGTGGCTCAAGCGGTAGCGTGCTCGCCTGGCATGCGTGCGGCCCGGGTTCAATCCCAAGCACCACATACAAACAAAGATGTTGTGTTCCCCGAAAACTAAAAAAAAATAAATATTAAAATTCTCTCTCTCTCTCTTTAAAAAAAAGTGGGTTAAAATCATAACCTAGAGCTTATATATTATTAATATATTATGTATAACTAATAGAATAATATATAATTAACATAACATATAATTTAAATAGGTTATTATTTCCAGCCTATTTTAATACACCTGTGTCAATGTTGTTGAAATAGTCACATAATTAAAAACTTGGGGCTGGGGATGTGGCTCAAGCAGTAGCGCGCTCGCCTGGCATTCGTGCGGCCCGGGTTAGATCCTCAGCACCACATACAAACAATGATGTTGTGTCCGCCAAAAACTGAAAAATAAATATTAAAATTCTCTCTCTTCTCTCTCTCTCTCTCTCTTTAAAAAAAAATTAAAAACTTGGGACTTAATGGGTTAATGGATCTTATATGTTATATACTTATACTATAAGTAATACACTATATTTAATTTTTATAGGTGTTCTATCTGGGGCAATGGGATAAAATAGGTTAATTTCATTAAACCTATTTAAGCAATTGTTTCAATCAGAAAGATATTTTCTTCATGAATATAAAGGATTTTGTCCTTCCCCATTGTGCGGGTAACTCCAACTTGATAACCTGCTCGGTAAGAATTGGTTTAAATACCAGTGCTAAAGAATCCAAAAGTCAGAAAAATCCATAAATCTAAGGTAAAAATATTCTATTTTACTTTATTGTCAAAACAAATCAGAAATCTGGGATGCTTCTGGCTACTTGAATAAAACGCACTGCAAACCCAAAGGGGACAAAGGTAATGAGAAGAAATGCCTTACTCCTGAACTGCTCTGCCTTCTGACGCAGATGCTTTTCATCTCACATATCAATACTGAATACATTGTTAGCATCCGCTTCCAGAAGGTCCCTCAATGCAGGAGCAAGTCAGTATGTTCTAATCACACAGCTACCTCTCAGGCAAGCAACTTTAAAGTAGACTTGAGGTTTAGGTAGATCTGGTATTATCTAGAAGACAGGCTTAAATTTTGCAAAAAGTTTCCAAAGAGCAGAAGACATTAAAACAGAGTACCAGAACTGAAGACACCATGTGAGACAACAGACAAAATATTTCCAGACCTAACAAAACCACAACCCTTTTAGTATAGCCTGAGGTATTTTAAAATAATTGTACAAGCTAATAGCATTCACAGTTTCCAAAGTTGCTTTGGACTGAGATAACTTCAAAGGTTCACAATATTTAACTTTTAGACATATTTTCCTGCAACTGAGTCTTTCCTCAGATTCCTGGAAATATCAGACAGCTATCCAGTGGCAGAAAATGGTCCGTGTAGTAATAAGGTTTCTATTTCCCAATTATTGTGCTATTCTGATGATATGATTAAAAAAATAAGAAATTTGCAATTCATATAAAAGGAAACCTTGCTTAAAATTCAAAAGCAAGTCCAGTCTGGTGGAGGTATATAAGACATTAAATAATAGAGTCAGATTCTTTTTTGAAGATTCCAGATGAGCTTGATAGCAGAGAGTTCTGGTTGTCCAACATTTTCTCCATCTTTTCTCCTCCAGTAGTTTTGCTGATCTCTCTTTGCTTCTTACTATGGATCCATGGAATAAAACAAAGCACAGTACCTCCAATAAGAGGAGGAATTCCAGCCAGGTAGAATGCCACATCATAGGAGTCCAGTTTGTCACGAAGTAACCCTGTGAAGGGAAAAAACTGTCATCGAGAAAGAACAAGTGTGGCTCTTAGTAGTCCTCAGATCACTCAAAATGATGACCTAGCCCCAGCCTCATAACTTCACCTCAGTAGGACTGACTCAAACATCAGATATCAGACATTTTTAGAAACAGATCTGAGATATAAACCTTTTCTGATATGAAGAAGGAAAGACCTCCTATCTTTAATCTTATCACTGAGTACAGGCTTCTGAATTCTCACACCAAGATATTAGTTGGAGAAATATTTGCAACTAAGCTTCAGCTTTCTGAATGCCCCTCAGAGACCTCTTGAGGTATTCAAACACACGATATAAACACTTAGCTGGGGCTGGTGCTCAGTGGTAAAGACTCGCCTAGCACATGCAAGGCCCTGGGCTCGATCCTCAGGTATTGTGTCTAACTACAACTGAAAAAAAAAAAAACCACTTAGCTGAAGGTGGACAGAGCATCCAGATGAAACTTTACTCAAATATCTATATTTCAAACCAATATCGAGCCTGTTTTTTCCCCTTTAATAAATAACATGAAACTCTTTTAAATTATAATCCAAAAGCATGAGAAATTGTAAATCTAAAAGTCAAGATTAAAAAATTAGGTGGTTAAACACACATTGGAAGATACTAAGGCTTGTCGGCTCTTGGGGAGAAAATATAAGAATGTATATTTGACACTCTAATAGATCTTTGGGCTCTGCTTCTGGAGACTGTTATTTACAGTACTCCTTACTTCTAATTTCCCTAACAAAACCTAGGACTCGGGATTTTAAAAGTTTTCTTAATTTTTTAAAACTTCCATTATATAACCACAGTTATCTAAAATGTACAGGGAATATATTACACAGAATATATCTCTGACTTTGTTAAATAAATAGCTGAGGATTTATCTAGTTAGTTACTACCACAGAGAAATGAATGTGTATATTAATTCTGGATATAAATAAAAAATATATAATATCTCTAAATATATAACCTCCTTATCCTCTGAATCAGATTTTTGCCTTAAGAGTATGATGTCCTCAGAACCTCTAGTTGGTTAAGGACTTTTTGCTTCCAGTTTCAGTGTATAATTATTCTGTTCACTTTGGAAAGTTCCAGTTAGCTCCCTTATTCTTGGTCTGTTAGCAGTCACTTCTGATAGCAAACACCATTCCTATTAAAGCACTACTTGTGATCTGCAGTGGATAAGCTTATATGATAAAAAAGAGTGAAAAGTTGCTTAATGATATTGCATTGTATGGATATGCTGCATTTTTCCCATTCACTGTCGATGAAGAGTTGTTTACACTAAATATTATTTTATGAACTATTCCTCAGGGGTATATGTATAATCAATCCCTTACACAAAGCATGTATATTTAGAAATCTTTCAGAATCTTCATCTTTTTAAATATCATGTTCCCAATTACTCCGAAGCATACTCTAAGTGAAATATAGAAATTGTGGAATTTTTTTTTTTAACCTTCATTTTATTTGTTTTTATTTTTATGTGGTACCGGGGATCAAACCCAGTGCCTCACACATGCACTCTACCACCACTGAGCTACAACCCCAGCCCCTAGAAATTGTGGAAATTTAAAGCCTAGAAGCTTACTCTCATACATTTTATTGTTTTAGATGCTAGAAATGATGAGAGAAATTCCCCAGCAAACTTTTTCAGTATATTATAAAAGGACCGTAATTGATAAATTACAATGTATTTTACATTAGTGAGGCTTAGGACCTAAAATAGAAAATGCTATTGAATTAATATAATACAGGAGAATCATTATATTTACCTGCAATAGGTGGGCCCACAGTCATGGGTATAGACATGAATCCGAGCAGAAATCCAATTGCTTGGGATACATCCTGTGCACCAACTAACTCAAAGGCAATGGGGGCCATGATAGAAATGAAGCATCCGTCGAAGAGACCCATGACGAGACAGACAGCAATGAGGGCCCCAAAGACGCTGCACAGGGGAATCATCATGGACATCAGACCAATGAAGAAAAAGGAAAGTACCTAGGATAGATGACCGTATGTCAACTCTGTTTTTGGAAAAAGTGACCTTATTTCCCGTCCCCTCAATCTTAAATACATATCCAGATCCCTGAGTTCCATTCAAATTTTCTTATAATATCCATTAGAGACAAGTATACACTATTTATATATTTACTGCAAACTCTTTGAAGTCAGAATCTATAAGAAATTTATCCTTGGACTAGAGATTATGAGGTTTAAGGATCTTGCACCTAGTCAGTGCTCAATCGGCTCAAATTCATTCATCAAGCACTTTATTTTTTGTTATCCTTCAAAACTATCATACTTTACTTGAAAAGATTAAAGATATGGTGAATCATCCCAGAGATAAGGTTCAGAATATTTATTTGGAGCCACCAAACACCTTCTACCTAGCATTAGCTAATAGAATCAAACTCCTGATTTTGCCTGCTATTTGGTAGGCACTGTGTTATATGCAAACATTTCAATAATGAATAAGAGATGATTTTTACCCTTGGGTTATAAAGCAATGGACATTTAAATAAGTAAGTGCAAATAAATTGTTCTAGAGTTCAAAGTATAGTAGGTACAAAAATGGAAGGGAATAGACACTAACTTTTCTAGGCAAAAACTAATTAAAACTGGACAATTTACTAATCAGCAGAAGAAATGCTGTTTTAGAGATACTGGGGATTGAACCTAGGACCTTGCAAATGCTAGGCAAGCACTCTAACACTAAGCAACATCCCCAGCTCTTTTTATAAACAAGTTTATTTTAAGACAGGGCCTCACTAAGTTGCCCAGGCTGGCCTTAACTTGCAATCCTCCTGGCTCAGCCTCACAAATAGCTGGGATTACAGGTGTGTCCCTAGATACCTGGCTAGAAGAAATGTTTTTAAAAGGACCAAGTTTTTAAAAAGCATATGCATGGAATAGCAACTATCATTTATTTCATGTCTATTAAGTTCTAGGCATTATTTTAATTACTTTAGATGCATTATATCTATGGTGATCCTTAGAACAGCTTTTGAAGACAGTGATGCTGAGAGAGGTTAAGAAGCATGTCCAAAGCACACAAGATGGAACTAGTCTGGAACCTGTGGCTCATGTGGACAGCAGTAGGGAGTGGATAGAACTATTCCCAGAAGATGCTCTCTAGTGATGGTAGAGCTAGGTATAATGGAGAGACTAGATAAAGCAGCCTTCTGGATCACAACTTCATCTCTTCTATTTTTCCTAAAACCCACTGGCACACCCTTAGAAAATAAAACTTGGTAGTGCAAGTCAGTGCCACTCCAAACCTGAGGACTCTGAAGTCACAATGTGTGAGTTTAGGGTAGGATACAAGAATGGCAGCTTTCACAAACTTCAACACATGCTGAGAGCCACAGCCAAGTCGGAATGGCGCCTGGCATTTTGCCAGAAGGAGTGGTTGAGAGGTGATGGCCAGCGGCCAGCGAGCCATTAAGATGATGATAATTAAGTTAAGCTGTGTATAATTGCTGTGACTGGATTGAAACAGGCTGTGTATTCAGTTGTATATAGACCCCTGCTGTCCGGCAATAGGGCGGCTCCTGCTGCCCAGGGCTCCCGCTACTTTTGCTACTTTTGAGTTCTTTGTGGAGTTCCTGTTGAGTTCTCCAGGAGCCCTGTTGAGGGCGGAGAGAGTTCCCGGGGAGTGCGCATGGAGTGCCGGTGAGAGTAATAAAGTAGTTCCTGTTTGAACCTACAAGTGCCTCGTGGCGGCTCGGTTATTTTGAGCCCAGCCAGACTGCGGTAAACACAAGTTATCCATGGACACCATAATCAGAAACATGCTCTTAGAAAATGTGTCACACTAAGAGAACTAAAAGGTTAGTTCTCTTTGTTACATCATTATGCCATTTAGTTGAGTATATTTTTCTTTATTACTATAAATATAGCTTTATAGTAAAATTATGATTGGTTTAAGAATCTGAGTGGTCTATTTGAAAAATAAGCTTGGCACATCACATTAGCATTTTGAAAGGAGGACAAAATCTTCCCATTCTTCTGATTTTTATTTTCTAATGAAATATTCTTTCCTCTAACCCAACTTTCATGAAAACAAGTATAATTTCTCAGCAGCAAGTAATTATTGGACTTGTAGCCTCATAGGCTGGAAAGAAATAGATTTCAAGGAGACTGGATTCTAGCTGTCTGTAACCTTCACTAAGAAAAAGACTTCATGATACTTCCCATCTATTAAGATCAAAAGAGGTCTAAATATAAAATAGAGAAGCTGGTTTGAAATCAACAAATAGTAAAAACTTACAGAGTTATTCCTATTGCAAAACTAACCAGACAAACCCTAATGTTCTTATTTTATAGATTATATTCTATCTACAAACATGAAAAGCAATAGATATGTATAATCTTAGAAACACTCATCTATATTCAAACAAACTCTGGGGAATCTAGAACAGAACTTGAAGAAGCCATAGAGCCAGATGTAATGGTTCTAACTTGTAAAACCACAGACCAAACATTTTTAGCCACACCACTATAATTATACTAGGTACTATAATTATACTAGGTTAACTTCCAGGAATAAATAAATAAATAAATATTTATATATGTAAATATATTAATATATAACATTAATATATATTAATGTGTGTTATATTATTTTCCTACTTTATTCAGTACAAATTTCTTTCAAGATAAGAAAATCACCCTGTGGAATTTTATACATGGTTGTAATAGACTAGTATAGGATTTGGCACAAACTCAACTTTTGCTTAATAACAAGTGTTTTCATGGAACAATTTATATAACATGAGATCTAGGCACTTTACTTTTGTTAGTTTTCCTGATTTCTCTTTTCATTTTGGTTCCCTTTGAAATTTTGTTCTTTGGTCAATTATGTAAAAAGTTATTAACGTAAGATTTTCAGCACATTATTTAATTTGTTATCTGACTGCAACTTCTTTGTTCTTTGTTCTTTTCTCAATTTAAACTACATTAACTCACATTCTTTCATTTTAATTATTTGACAATGACTTATTAATTTGTTATTTATTGGGGTTTTCCTTTAAAAATCGAGTTCAAAAAATATTTATACATTTTATCCTTTAGGCATTTCTCAGAAAACATAACTTGCTTTTTTCCCCTTATTTGTAGTTATTATAGTAGAAAATAATGTTCTTTCCCAGCAGATGTTACTACCCAAAATGTAGCCAAGCTGGTGAGAATGTACCTGCTGTGAGAAGTAAATACCTATTCCTTATGTGCCAAAGGAACATGTGTCAACGTTTAAAAAACTGTCCATATAGGAGCTTCCAGTCTCTCTTTATCGTCTCCCAAAATAAATATTGGTTCACACTCAAATACTGAACTGCATATACTGGGACACAATTTGAAAGATGAATAAATTTAGCATTAACATGCAATCTTTGTTCTTTCTCTTAAACAGCAGTTCGGGTTAAATTTAAATAGAGGATTCAGAGGTCTTTAATTCTCTTCTAGGTTTGTACTGCCTTAATAAGAAAATGACTGTTTAGATGTGTATATTGCTTTTGTTTTCTTAAAAGCATCCAAGGAAGCTTTTTTTGTCATAATATCATAGGCTCTAGAAGAATAAGTGCAACTTGAGTTTAATTTATGTACATGAGAGAAAAGTTTTTTTTTTTTAATGCTTTCTTATTTTTTTTATTTATTTTGGGGTGGTGATCTAGGGGATTGAACCCAGGGCCTGGTACATGCTTAGGCTGGCGTTCTACCACTGAGCAGCATCCCCAGCCCAACTTCCCCATTTCTATCCAAAGATAACCATTCTTGGAGTCTTGGAGACATGTCAGTTTAAGTTTGGCTCAGGAATCTAAGTATAACTCAAGAGGAAAAATGAGCTACACCTGAATAAGCAGAAGGCATTTGTGCAGACACATGATTGGCGCAGTTAGATTCAAGTGTTGTTTCTAATAGGTTTATTCAATATAAAGTTTCCAGACTTTCATATCCTCTAGCTAGACACCCAGGGCAGAAAAGCAGCTGGCAAAAGTCCTGTTGGTCACTCACAAACTAAAGAGAACTGTTCAGGTCACATAGCCAGGTGGCTAACTGTTTTGGAAGCAAACAGTGGCCACCACACTTTCCAAGTGCTTTGCCGGGAGCCCACTCACCCGTGCTCTACAGCACACGAGTGCTACTGTGCATCTGAGCCTTCACACTAGTGCCACAGCCTAGATAAGACTATGGAGCCTCTGACTTGTATTCTGACTGGGGAATAGTTAAGTGTTTAGATATTATTTAGAATAAGCTTCCATTTGGTAAAGTCTATACTCTCATTCTAAGGTTTAGAAAAATGTAAAATGCCAATGTGGAATAAAAAATAAAATTGGACAACACTGGCCACTCCACTGCATCTGAAGTGGAAGAAGAAATTGACACAGGAAGATGGATATGAAATCCATGATCCTTTATAAATTACAAATGTAACTCATGAATGTATTCTTTAAACAATTCAAACCTTAGAAAAACATACACTGTAATATAAGAAAGGCTTCCCTCCCTGCTTCTGGATTCAACCCATGTTCTCTCCTCCTCAGGAATAACCCCCTGACAATGATTTGCAACCCTCCCATTCCTATGCACACACACATGGACATGATGTCCACATTCAATATGTCCATGTCATCTAGAAATGACACAATGGAAGTGCTCCAAATCAAGCCCAGAAGCCTCTACCATAGAACTACATCCCCAGTCCTATGAAACAGGGTCCTATTAAGTTTCCCAGGTTGGTTCCAAATTTGTCATCTGCCTTCCTCTGCCTCCCAAGTAGCTGGGATTAGAGGTGTGCCACCACACCCCGCTCAATCCTTTCATACACAATTATAACCTTCAAACCTTTCATCCTTCCAAAATTACACCTTTAAGATACAGACAGATCTGTAGTCATTTAATCATGACTAGAAAGACAGACCTGTGAGGTTAAGAAAAGTGGTAGGAAGAAAGCAGGGTAAACACAGCCTTTCCTCTCCAATGAAGGATATACTCCAGAACTTTGCAAGATTTCCTTTAACTATTATCATTCTATATAATGCAATTCAGTTGTATCCTTCTACCAGGAGCAGTGGACTTTGCACAGCCTTTAGAATTACTAGGTTAAAAATAGCTGGAACTCGGGATCTTGATGAAAGTTCAAATTCAGAACTTTTAAGCAAAAAGTACCAGGTATATTCCTAAACAAAAGATTGTCTATAAGCAAAGACCTCTAATTCAGGGAAACTAAGGTCTCCTTTCTTGAGAACTGTTCCAAATTGGGATCTTCCTTCTGTATTTAATATGATTATTAAAATATAATAAAAGCAAGGATTTTTTCACCATCTACTCTGAGCTAGTACTTTACATAAGCAGTCACAAAGAATCTTCAGCACTGTCCTCTGTGGTTCTGAAGACAAATTGCTAGTGAGACACTCACTTCAGAACCTATCCTCCTCTGTTCTGCAGCCTCCCAAACCTGAGATGACTGTGTCCTGAAATGTGACCATGTGGGAGAGCTGTGAAGTGTGTTTATGTCACCCAGTGTTCTAGGACTAGCAGCTACTCGGAAGTGGCTTCAAGGGAATAAGGAAGAATGAACTGCCACAGCCCCCTGAAGAGACAAAAGTCTGGAGCACGTATGTCTGAGAAAACCCACCACCAACAAAAGGAATGAAGAGGAGATAAGCAGAAGAGCATTCCAGACCAGAAAGGCTGGGTCAAAAGGCAGACAGCCAGGAAAGGAGGGAGGAAGAAAAAGGAATATATATACCAGCAAAGCTGGACTCTGCTGTAGCCAAGAAGAAGCAAAGAATCAAAAATCTTGGGCCAAGAAAAACAGAAGAAAGTGTAATCCCAATGACTCAGGAGGCTGAGGTGGGAGGTTGGCAAGTTTGAGGTTAACCTAGTCAACCTAGTGAGATTCTGGGCGTGTAGCTCGGTGGTAGAGCACCCTTGGGCTCTGTGTTGGTGGGCTGTGTTGTCTCTTGGGCTGCTGTGCTTACAAATGAAGCCCATCAGTGGCTCCCAGCAGTCCCAGGACACACCTAAGGACTTTCCAGCTCCTCCACCAGCCTCTTTAAAATCCAGTCATCCCCCCTGTGACTCAGCACAAACTACTGGGTGTCCCAAGCACATACTACTGCCCTACGTTTGGATGAAAAAAAATTTACATAAGGGCTTAAAGAAGCCAGTCTGTGGCTAACCTTTCCATTGAAAATAAAATATCTGATCCACAATATTGACTTTTAACTCACTGCCATCTAACAGACTAAACATGGGAAAGTTAGGAAAGTTCTATTTTCTTTTGTAAATTACTCAAAATACCTAAGTATTAAAATGTCCCCGCAAAAGTGTTGCAAATGACCTGCCTGTCCCATCTGTAGGGGGAAAGAACTTTCAGAAATTATTCTGGAGAATGCTTACGTATAAAATATAGCATGACTCCATCCTCTGAGCCTTAGAATGGGCTCCAGAATCCCTCACTGGACCACTTCTCATTCCTACCTGCTCTTCCTCCCTCCCACACTCTTGCTTCGCTCCCTCTAATCCACCCTTTACACACAGCGCGTGTACAGTAGTTTTAGAATGTAAAACCAGACCAACACTCTCCAACAAAGGCCCACTTTACTTAAAGTAAAATGTCCTTGTCTTGGTTTTCAAGGCCTGGATCACTGGCCTTCCCAGCTTTCTAACCTCTTCTGTGAGGCTCCCTGTTTTCTGAATCCCAAAGACACCCAGCATTTTCCTGCCTAAGTCCTGCTCCAAGAACTCAGAGACTATGTCTCTCTTTTTTATATCTGGATTGGTGTCTGGGGCACAGAAGGCACGCAGAATTTTTCGAAAAATAAAATGAAGCTCTGTAGTACAATAAATGCCCATTAGAAGGCTCTCTTGACACTTGAGAACTAGTCTGAACATTCAGCTATGTGTTCACTACACAATCATAAGTGAGGATGTCCATAGTAAGGTATTGATAAAGAGGGGCATAATCATTGTTCAATAAATACATTGTTAAAAGTAGTGCATAAATATGCATGAGGGCTTGGGTTTAATTCCCAGCACTGCACACCACCTCTGTCTGTACTTCCTTCTGGACCTACATGCACACAAACACCCATGGTGAGGCAGCCTCTCTGTTCCTCAGTGGACATATCTGTAAAAAGAAATAAGGACAGTCCCACCCTTACAGGGATGGGCAAGGATAATGAGATAATGCAGGTAGAGCACTTACTTCATCATCTGAATGTGAAAGTGCTCAATGAATGAGGGTTGTTATTACTTACAGTCAATTAATGCAAGTTACTTTATCTGTAATAAATGCTTTTATAATTTAATTTTGTATTTCCAAATTTCACTTTTTCTTCAAGGCACTGCTCAAATACTGCCTCTGATCACTAGCAAAATACTTATTCCCCCAAATCATAAATCCCCTAATGGTTCTCCTTTCCCTTCCTTCTGCAGCCAAGTTTTTTGGGTATAGTTATCTATATTTTCATTTATTCAATTAATCATGTCCAATTTTCTGTATTTGCCACTCCATTGAAACTGCTCTCTATAAGGTCACTAATGGCCTCTCTGTTGCTAAATCAGTGAAGATCTATTAGTCTCCTTCTCACTAGCTACTGACGCAGTGCTGGCCTCCTGCCCTTAGAAACACTCTATTCTTGGATTTTTCTTTCCAAGCTGGCCACTCCCTGTTGGTCTCCTTGCAGGGCCCTAGTCCTCCATTCACTCCATAAGCCCATGAATACCAAAGTCCTGCAGTCTCTTATCCATACTCTTCCAGGAGCTTCAAGCTCAACTTGGCTTCTTCACAGGCAGCATACATTTGACACAGCAAAATTGAATTCATCATCTTCCTTCATTGGTAAGAGTGGAAATTCATCTACTCTGTTACCCAGGTCATAAATCTCAAACCCAGTTTAAGTGGCTCCACCAAACACTCACTCTCATATCCCTGATTTACTCCTGGCATCTCTGCCTTGGCTTCTCCTGCTAAAACTACTTCAATAATCTCCAACTAGTTCCCATGCTTCCACTTGTGTGTGTGTATGTGTGTGTGTGTAATTTACATATAAAACTCACCCATTTAATGGGTACTATTCAATGCCTTTTAGTATATTCACAACATCATAGAACCACCAAAATCATTTAATTTTAGAACATTTTCATCACTCGAAAAGAAATCCCCCACACAGTATCAATTACTCACCAATTCCCCCTTCCCTCCAGCCCCTGACAACCACCCAATCTACTTTCTATCTCTATGGATCTTCCAACTATGGACATTTTATATACATGGAATCATTCAATATGTGGCCTTTTCTGACTTCCTCAACTCTTGCCCCTCCTCCTCTACTCCATTCTATCCAATTAATCTTTATAAAACACAACTCATGTCACTCCCTTGCTTAAAATCCTAACAACTCCTGATTGTAGAATTAAGTTCATCCATTCTCATGCACATTAAGTTCCTTCCCAACCTGGCCCAAACATCAACTATTCTCTTTATTCCATTCAAACATTCAGTTTCCCAGACACATCTCCACATCTTTACCCCATGTTTTCTTTGTTTGGAATACACCTCCCTATCTTCCTTAACTGTGTAACTCAGCCAGCCAGCAAGCCTCCCATCCATATATAACAACCACTCACCTCTGCTATGTGTGTATGGTGCTGGGAATTGAACCAAAGGCCTCATGCATGCTAGGCAAGTGCTCTACCATTGAACTTCACCCCCAGCCCTTCAACTACTACTCATTTCTTAACTAGTGATTCACATTTTCCCAGGAGACCTACATAACATACTCAATATTCCACTGTACTGTAACACTGTCTTTTCTGTCTTCCCATGGGACCTTCAGCTAAGGATCACAGATGACATTTCATCTGCAGCATGTAGCACACTTTCTGGCATGAAGGAGTCACTTAAATATCTGTTGCCTAAGTGTCATGAATGATCCTGAAATTAGCATTTGTTAATGCCCACCCACAACACATAGCAGGCAAAAAGTCGTACACACCCCAAATTTCATAAGATATTGTAAAATGCACTGGATCTGTTCATGATTATGAGAACTGTGCCAAAAATAAAGAATTTTTCTTAGAAGAAGCCATGGGCAAAAACATTTTGGTAGAATTCCCTGACAAAACAAAGAAAATTGTTTGATTGCCAACTTCTCATGTTGTCCAAATTCAATCTTGACTGGTATTGTCCTTGAAAAACTGCCTGTGGAAGTTATGTCTAGAAAGTTTTTTTTTTTCTTTTTATAGAATTTTAAAATTTACATTCATTTAATGAGCTACCAGGCAATAGGAATAAATTAGGGGTGAAAGAAAAGAAAGTACCTGTAGATAAACCTTCTTCACACCAGGTACATAATCTGCAATCCGGCCAAAGAGAAGTCGCCCAACTCCAGAAGTGATGCCAATGCACATGAGAACCACCTCTTTATGTTTTTCATCTTGAAATCTTTCATTCACGTGTTTCAGCTGTAGACCAAGGAGAAAGAAACCACACTAAATATGGTAGTAAAAGTTAACAAGGATTGAGGCTTTGCATCAAACATGTGCCTTCTCTGTTATGGATTCTCACTCCCTTCCCAATTAAAATATTTATTCTGTGATAAGTTTTCATTAAAAACAATGAAGAAAATCTAGTATGATTTGGCTTGATTAAAAAAAAATAGAGCTGGGGATGTAGTTCAGTACAAAATGCTTGCCTAATGTACGCAACATCCTGGCTTCAATCCCCAGCACCACAACACCTACACAAAAAAGAAATGAGTTCTTGTAAGAATTTTGTTGTTCCTGTTAAGGGTTACCAGCACATACTTTATAAGCTAGTATTGAGCCATTCAAAGAAGAGAACAGATCTTTGAATGTACCACATACTCTTGTTTTCTCAAGGTTACCCAAGGACTCAGCATATTATCTGCCCCCTGAAAGAAAGTCAATTGTGGAATTTTATTTTTTGTAGGGGACATGAATCAAACTGATACACCTGAAATTAGTTATGACAGAGCTTCCTGGATGAAAGCATAAGTTTCCCTAGTTGTCTGTTTGTATAGCACTAAAACAGATACAAGAACAGTTTCATAGAGTGGTTAAAACATTTAAGCCTCTGGAAAGTCAGAGTTCAAGTCTGGGTTCAAGTCCTGGTCCCATCCTTCAGAGTGATTTGGGGTAAGTTCTTAACTTTTAGGGTCTCAGTTTCCAGTTTCCTAAGTGTATTAAATGGAGATAGCAATAGTACCTATTTGAAGGGTGTTTAAGAGGATTAAATAAAAGAACTTAGAGCACTAGGGGTTTAGTTCAGTGGCAGGGTACTTGCCTAGCATTCATGAAGCCCTGGTTTGAATCCTGGTACTGTAAACAAACAACTTAGAACCTCTCTGGCACATGGTTAATAGTTATCAGACTATTAACTTTAGTCTTTTTTATTTTGCAGTACTGGGGATTGAACATAGTACATACTAGGGTAAGCCTTCTACCACTGAGTTACAACCCCAGCTCTAATTTTAGCCCATTTTTGATAAAAGGATCTTTTGGGGGCCAAGTGGTCTAAAAGTGGAAAAAGGGGGTGAGGGGAAGATATTTTCCCTTAATCACAGTCCACTTAGAACAGTGTGACTACAATGATCTAGGTGCCACAGACAGCAAGACTATTTGGAATGTCCCTACATTCACTGTCCCTTACACCAAACACTGGCCTAAATTTGGGAACTCTGCAAGCAAATATTCCACCCACCTCAATGGCCCAGGTAGCTCCAATGCAGCCTTTCTAGATGATGTCTCTCTCCTTGAGATGCTTCTATTTTGATTTTTATCCCCCTCCCACCCCACTTTGCATGTTTTAAAAGTTAATTTGTGTATTCCCACACCATCTCATTTTTTTTTGTCCCCTTTCAAAACTGGTAACGGTTCTCTAATGTCTCAATTTTCACACTGGTCCAGAAAAATCCTTCTAAATACGGGTTTAATCTTGTCAATCCCTTATTCAAAGGCTGCCTGCTGCCTACATTTTGTACTTCTTGGTTTGGTATTCAAAGCCCTCTATAATCTGCCACTAATTTATCTTTGTACCTTTATTACCTACTGATACTTGGCCTAGAAGTCCCAGACAAACATAAAGAAGTAAAACAGATTCTTTGGAGAGGAAAGGCATATGCTTCAGTGGATTATTAGCAGCAATGTTGCCAAGTCTACCTCCCAGCCCCCTTTTATTAAAAAGTCAGAAATCTGGATTTTCTGTGGAAATGTTGGCACCTAACTAAAATTTAGAACACTGTGTGATCCAACCCTATAAAAGCCAAACAAAACATGTCTGCAAACTGTATTAGGCCAGCTTTGATCCCAGCCCTAATCCCATCAGGCCCAGGACAGGTTTATTCACAATGCCGCTTAAACATGCTAATGTGTTCTTAATTCTCTACCCTAGCTCAGTGGTAAAGTGCTTACCTAACATGCATGATTCCCTGGGTTTGATTCCCATCACACAACCAATCATTCACATCATTCATGAGATTTAAAAAGAGAGAGAGAGAGAGAGAGAGAGAGAGAGAGAGAGAGAGAGAGAGAAAGACTTTCTAACATCACTATTGCTTAAAGTTATCATTTGGTACCATAAGTATTCTGTGTTCCTACCCAGCCTTATAGCTTTTCACTCAATACAACTCTTCCATGTCAAAGTAGACTAACAGACATCCAACAGCTTGTATCAAAGGCACCTGGAGTCATGCTGCTCACTGCCCCCAACCCTGTATTTAACTTGACTATTATTGGCTCCCGTAACCATGGTAGAAACCTGACAATCATCCTTAATTGTTCTCAATTCCTCTGTTAAAGTGAAAAGCACATGGAGGAATTAGACATCAGTAGGGGAAAAAATGCATAATCTCAAAAAATTTTAATAATGATTTCCTGTTAAAGTAATGTTCTGGTTATATGGTTAAGTAAAATATGTTATAAACATTAATTACATTTTTTTAATGTGGCTACTAGAAAACTTAAAAGTACAATATGACTTGCATTGGTTTTTAAAGAAATCCACTTGTGGCTGAGAAGATAAGAGCTGCTGAACTAAGGTTTCTTCAAACTTTTAGACAAGTTGAAGGAGATCAGATTTCCACTGAGTTCTGAGGGAAAATGAATGACCTGATCATGCATTATTGTGTATTAATTGGCTTTACTTGGAATTTGAATCCAGACTCTAGTGTACTACTTCAAGTCAGGTAGCGATAAAATATATTGTAACTGTGTGTGTGTGTGTGTGTGTGTGTGTGGTTGTGGGGATCAAATATAGGACCTTGTACATGCCAAGCAAGTGCTCTACTATGGCACTACATCCCCAGTCCTTTTTATTTCTCCCTAAGTTGTCTCCCTAAGTTGCCCACACTGGCCTTGAACTTGTGATCCTCAAGTAGCTGGGATTATAGGCATGCACCACTGTGCCTGGCTTTCCTATCTTTAAGTACTTTTCATATTTTTAACTTTTAAAGAGACAATAGACCAAAATTACCAGTCATTCTTTTGATGAAACTAAGAACATGTGTTTACCAAATTGCTATTCTTCTTTGTTAGTGATTTTTTTTTCCACCCTTACCCTATACTCTATTTTGTAATCTTAAAAAAAAAAAATAAGGTGGAATGTTTGGGATCTTTTGAAAAAGGGTGAATGAGGTAAATTCAAATTATGCTTAAGTGGGAACTACAAAGGGCCTTACTTCATTAAACTGTGTTGCTCTTGTCATTGTCATTTAAATCAAGCAAGAACTTCAACTACTTATACTCCCTCCCTACCTCCTATCAAAATCTGTACTAAGTTTCTTCGGTCAATAAGTGAGGCAATCTGGAGGGATGGAGGAGCAGACTCTCCTGGTGCTGGATCTCAGGGTCCTAGAGATCCTTTCCCCCAAGGCAGCTATACCAAGGCCTGGTGTGTTCGTTCCACTTGGGCCTGGGCTTCCCATGTACCTATCTTTCATCCTCTGGACACTGGCATGCATAATGTTTAGCAGAACACATGACACTAGGCACAACTGGTATTTCCAACAGAGTCATGTGGGCAGACATGAAAATATTGGACAGCTTATTTTTATATTTAATCTAACTTTTGGTTGTTTAACCTAACATTTTAAATGAATCCAAACTTACATTAGAGTCTACTTTCTGTGCAGGGGATAATATTTTTTAGAGAAGTTGTTTAAAGTTAACTTTGGAGGGTGGGGGTATAATTCAGGGGTAGAGGTTATCCTTAGCATCCACTAGGCCCTGGGTTCAATCCCCAATACCAAAAAGTAAACAATAAAGTTAACTTTATTTGAATGTGAGGGTGTCTTCAGGGCAGGAATTAGTCTTTTATTTATGTCCTTAAACATTTGTTTAATCCTGGGTGGCACACCTCTTAAGGGATGAAGAAAGTCTAGCTGACTGACAACCTGCCTGCTCCTGAAACATTGTTCCATCATTCAAGCAACAACAGCTTTTGCTGACCATAGAAACCATTTACAGATTGTATGAAACCCTATTTGGTTTTTGCTATCCAAAGATAACCAAGAACTCATATCGAGGATATATAATCATTCTATATCCATGCAGGAAAGGAGACAAGACAAATTAGTTACATATATTTCCATCTCATTTAATATCTTCAACTCAAGTAAATGGTGGTACACCTCTCTGTATAAATGAGGTGTTTCTGACAAGGCAATAAAAGCTAAGTTCCTCTTTCTTCACTACAGCCCTGAGCTAGATCCCATTTTTGAGAGGTCAGAGACAGCAACCTATGAAAGCAACTATCTCACTGGAATGGCCTCTGCCCTAGCTTCTCTCTTTTCCACCACTCTCCTATAAAGGAGCCACAGACAACATCAGATAGTGTTCTTCCACTGGGAATCCAAGGCGAGATCCTCTGGAACTCAAGACCATGAGGGAGGTTAAAGGAATGCCCATAGTACAACCTATGTAGTAAAACCCAGTGGCAGTACACATTTGCAAAGCAAAGATATCACTGATCCAAAAGGTCCAGTATTATCTTCTGTACTGTTTTCTAAGATTATTTGGCCATACATCATGGTCACTAGCCACATTATTCCTCCAACTCTCACTTAAGGGAATGCGTACTTTTTTGCTGTATCTCTTTTATGTAATACTTACGTGATATATTGCATAAGCAATATGACAAAACTTCAATATATGTAAGTTAGACTACACATCTTGAGGGAAATATAGTTAAAGAAGAAAAGGGAAGAAATCCTGGAGACTCTTACAACAAAAATAACTTAATTTCTGACAGTGGACGTGAAGTGACAGCTGACTTAGTACAAAGGGTTAACAAAGGAAGTGTTAGGTGACCAGGAAATTCCAGCAAAGACAGGTGAAATGGAGCATTACAATAGACTGAGGGTGAAATTGTCCCATTCACTGTTGCTGCTGTTAACTATTCTCTTTGAAAGATAAAAAAGATTTTAATCACCCATTTGTCCTTGTTT